CCGACAAGTCCCACCCCCGCACCCCCCCCCCCCCTAAAAAAAGGTAAACCTGATAACTTCGAGAAAATATGTTTCGTAGTGTGCTACAGCCGAACAGCTGGATGTGTAGTGTAAAACAGCCGAACAGCTGGATGTGTAGTGTACAACAGCCGAACAGCTGGATGAGTAGTGTACTACAGCCGAACAGTGGAGCTTGTTGATATAGGGCTAGCCGGAACCATTGAGAGCGCTTTGAGCCCCTCTCAGAGTATGGATATTTGTAATACACATATGAATTATAAACTACAAATGTAAGAACAAGATATACCCGTATCTGTGTCCGTATTACATACGTTTTTTATACTAAATTTCAACCTTTATTATTGAACTATATGTGCGAAAATTATTATAACTGCTCTCTCAATCCTTTATTTCATACCAAAATAATTTTTAAATCCTTTTTTAAAAAAGGTCTATTCAATTTATTCCACAAGAAATAAAACGAAATTGTAATATACCATGTAAATTAAATGTCATGTATAATCACCCCAAAAAAACCTACATTATCAGTATTTTCTATAAAAAATATTTAAAATTTTGTGTAACGATAGCAATGAGCAAAATTAGCAAGTAAATACAAGGGGTCATATGAAAAAGGCTTCTAAATGTGTCCGATGATTTGTGGCGATCGGGTTGGGGGTGGGGGTGCAATATTACCTAAACAGCATGACGTCATTAATGGATGTACCCCCCCCCCAACCAACTTTGTTGTTTAGAAAAAACTCCTCCCCCCCCCCCCACACACACACCTGGCTTCAGAACATTCTCGTCTGTTTTATCTTTACATACAACAAACACAGACACACATTTAAAAGTTAAACTAACCCTGTAAAAACAAAGTCTTTCGTACAAATACTTTATAAAATATAATTTGAAGCAATTGGGTTTTGAGGCAAAAAAAATTACAAACCGTGTATACAAGTAACGCATTTTATAAAATCCAAATAAGTGCTGCCCCCCCCCCCCTCCTCCACCCCAAAGACTCATAAAAGCACATTTTTTCACGCCCCTTGCATTATATTAATATTCTAATGACCCACCAGCTTTTACTTTTACATCGCAGATTTATTTGACCAAATATTTCCGAAAATAAAATATTGTGCGACAAACGACCTCTGATATTTTTTTAAAGAAACTCATTTAGCGCAGTTATCGGGAATTTTAATTAAATTTGAAAGAATATGTTATCATCGCAACGAGTGCATATTTCAAGTTCCGGCTTGATATCTTGATGTGAAGTGGACCAATTAGCTGTCCCAAGATTTAGCCAGCCAGCCAGCAAGCCAGACAGCCAGCCAGCCAATCAGTCCGCCAGGCAGCCAGTTAGCCAGCCAGCCAGTTAGCCAGACAGCCAGTTAGCCAGACAGCCAGTTAGCCAGACAGCCAGTTAGCCAGACAGCCAGTTAGCCCGCAAGTTAGCCAGAAACTTAGACAGTCAGCGAGCCAATTAGTGACTCAGCTAGTCAGTCAGCCAGCCAGCTAGTTAGCCAGCCAGTTAGCCAGCATGTCAGTCAGCCAGTTAGCCAGCCAGTCAGTAAGCCAGAAGTTAGCCAGCCAGTTAGCCAGCCAGTTAGCCAGCCAGTTAGCCAGCCAGTTAGCCAGCCAGTCAGCTAGTGAGTCAGGCAGCCAGTTAGATAGTCAGTTAGCCAGCCAGTTAGCCAGCCAGTTAGGCAGTCAGCCAGCCAGTCAGCCAGTTAGCCAGCCAGTCAGCCAGCCAGTTAGCCAGCCAGTCAGCCAGCCAGTTAGCCAGCCAGCCAGCCAGTCACCAACAAACAGAAGCGAAGTTAATATAAAGGATTTAATAATAATAACTGGTAGAAGTGCCGCCTTCGGTGGTATTTAGTCTCACGGCAAAATAAGAGACTTTTAGAGCATTCTGGGGACAATCGACATTCAGGGGCACATCCGTGTTCGTAAGAGCAGACACACGTCTGAAAGGGCGTTCAGTATCAGCGCCACTTCCTGCACGCTACACAATCTTAATAACACATCTTTCAAAACGAAATTCACACCATCCTTCCTTATTACCGACTTCTCAAGCCTTTTGAGAAGAAAAATCGCAATATTTAAATAAGCATACAAATTCTACTTTCACAACAAAGTGGCGTACCAGCGAGTTTATAAGCTGGAGCTAAAATTGAATTTTAAAATCAAGAAACATCAAGGAATGATTCAAAATGTAAAAACGCTTGATTTCGGGACGAGGATCACGTCTTAATGATAGGGAAAGGTTTTCATAAAGTCTTTTAAACACATTTAAATCACTGCCTCAACCCCCATCCTCATGTATCAAATGACATCACAAAATATGACCTGATGTTAGAAAAATGTTATAAATATAATGTTAATTAATTGGCAAGTAGCTAAGACCTGTAAGTTCTTTTTTTTAATACTATATTTAAAACAATTATTATTTTAGTCGGGTACAACAAAATATATCTCAGTCAACTCTTGTCCCAATCGTGTTCCAAATTCTTGTCCCAATCGTGTTCCAAAGTCTTGTCCCAATCGTGTTCCGAATTCTTGTCCAGTCGTGTTCCAAATTCTTGTCCCAATCGACTTCCAAATTCTTGTCCCAATCGTGTTCCAAATGTTCCAAATTCTTGTCCCAATCGTGTTCCAAATTCTTGTCCCAATCGTGTTCAAAATTCTTGTCCCAATCGTGTTCCAAATTATTGTCCCAGTCGTGTTCCAAATTCTTGTCCCAGTCGTGTTCCAAAGTCTTGTCCCAGTCGTGTTCCAAATTC